GGGAGGGCAGGGGACAGACTGTCTTACAGATGTGAGAGGTGAGGGAGGGCAGGGGACAGACTGCCTTACAGATGTGGGAGGTGAGGGCAGGGGACAGACTGCCTTATAGATGTGAGAGGTGAGGGAGGATAGGGGACAGACTGCCTTACAGATGTGGGAGGGGAGGGCAGGGACTAAGTTGCTCTTAAGATCACAGTTCTGAGTTCTGAACATCAAGCTGAGGGCTTGGACTTGGGTGTCTTCTGCTTTGGTCTAACTCTTAACTGTTTTCTACTCTTAACTGTGTGAAGTGAACATTCTGACACACTCTAACCTCATGCGTGTGTAAGCTTGTGACTTTGGGTGATATCTGATCTCAGACTCACTACAGTACAATCTTAGTGCTGGAGACTCACAAGCTTGTGATCGCTTATATGAAATGCTTTTCAGCAACTGACTGTATCAGAAAACTTCAGTGACGTCAAATGCCTTTGAGGTTATTGTGAGTGTGCCTTTGTTACAGGGACACTTGGAAGCATGAGGGCAATTTTATTTTCAGAGATTGATGTTCTGTCCTGTTTCATAGTGGAGCAAGTGACATTTAATAATAGTAACAAAACTTAGGAATAAATAAATTTTCTCAATTTATAATTAACCACCTTGTTATATATACTATAATTTCATTAGATCATAGTCTACCACAAAATGCTATTATGAAGAAAATGGCGAGACAGTGATATGGCTCAGCAGATAAAGACACTTGTCACATAAGCCTGACAGCCTTTGTTCAAAAAAAAAAATGCAGGGGGAGGGGAGAGGCAGAGAGGCAGTGGAGGAGGAGGAGGATGATGTGGAAAGGCCAAAATGAAGAGTAACTGCTCTGAGCAATTTTTGTTTAATACTAATTTATATCAGGTGATTGATTTAACAATATATTAGTTCTAAGGAAAGAACTGAATTTTTAGAGAACGCTATATCATAGAGTAACTCTCTCAAATCCTTCAGCATTTTGGACAGTTACTTCTGCGTAGAGTTATGTAGTGACCCTGTCGTGACACAGGACAGAGTTCTGTAAATTCTCCACGTGAACTATCAGAGCTCAGAAAGGAGCTCATGCATGAAGCGGCTTCATTCTGATCTCAAAATTAGTCCCTGTTGCTTTTGGCTTTGTTCCCTTTTATCATGTTTGCAACCTTATTACAATCATTTGCCTGGTTTTGTTTTTGAGACAAGACTCTTGCTATGATCCCAAGATGTCCTTGAACTCCTAAGGGCTGTCCTCAGACTCCAGCCTTCCTGTCTCCAGCCTCAGGCTCCTGAGTGCCAGGGTTATAGGCGTAGTTTAAGGTGGAAATCTAAAGGAACTGCAAGCACCCAAAAAGAAAGCATGACTGTTAAGTGGTGTGTGTTCTTTTTTTTCAAACAGAACACCGAAATATTCTCTAAATTGTTTCTTTACATATCAAATTTCTGTGTTTTTCTAACTTCACCTGCAGCTGCTTGAAACTCTGTTCTAGCAGCTCCTCCTGTGGAATGTTAGTGAAAGTCTCCAAATAGAACCACACCGACTGCTGGAAATGGTTATATCAGATTTACTTTTTCATAATAATAGCATTCTTGGAGTACAGTCAGCACACAGCTAAAATGCGGGGCATAACACTGTAAGCTTCTGGAATCTACTTTTTAAATATTAGTTTGCAAACATTCTTTGAAGGATCTTGAAAACATTTGTTTTAGATTCTTTCCTTTTGGTTATCTGGAAGTAGGAATTAAAGAGTGATCCTAGCCACAGCTCCTAAACTCCCTCTCATGTAAGTTCACAGAAGCTTTTATAATTATTTAAGAATATAGTTTGTGGTTTGACTATATTACCTCGGGGATCTAGCACTTCAGTGCCACATATATGTTGTAGAAGCCGACAGTGCTGTGTTCTGTGTCCCCCTGCCCCAGGTTTATCACACGGCCTTGTAAAGTCACTTTGGAAACATTTGTGGCTTTTCAGTGTGTTTTTAAAAGAGCAAAATCATGCCCCTCCCCCCCACTTTATAATTCAGTTTCTGCATGTTTGCTACCATTCTTCTGCCAAAATTGCCGCTCTTCCCTCTCTAAACTCAGTTTCCTGACTGTCTCTGAGCCGTCTTTCTCTCTGGAGCCCACCCATGGTGGTACTACTGTGCTCATTCTGGTTTTAAAGTCCACATAGGGTTAAAGAAGAAAAAAAGGAAGGAATTCTGTCTGCGCTGTGGTTAAGGTAATATTTTTTATTCACAAACCACCTTTTGTATTATTTGTTTGTCAGATGTTTTATGCATTTGTCTTCTGCTTAATTATGTATATATTCTGTCTCCTCAGACATTGGGAGGTCTCATAGTAAATGACCTGCAGTACTGACCATATTATGTTAAAATATGTAGTGACTAAGGTTATTGACAAACATTAGTTCTTTCATAGACATGTACAAACAGCAATTGTATAAAGCGAAAGTTAAATACATATTTTTCCTGTAAAAATAGTTAAGTGACGTTGGTTGTGTTGGTGAATGAATACATTTCTTCATTTCAAAGTGATAAGCAATAATGAATTTTTAAAAATGATTACATTATATATTCCTTAAATGATGCGGGGGCGCAGGTGTGAAGTCAGAGGACAATTTTCAGGAGTCAGAGGTCTCTCTCCACCATGCATCTGAAATTGAGCCCAGCCCTCAGGCTTGGCAGCAAGTGCCTCTACCTCCTGCTGAGCATCTCACCTGCTCAGTAATGAGTTTTTTAAGTTTAGTCTTCTGCTCCATGCCCACCCTAGGCTAGCAGTGGGTCATCTCATTCTCGGGACTTTTTAGTTTAGTCTTCCCTCCTGAGGACAGGGTAGAGCAGTCTGTGGGCGGAGGATGAGGCTAGCCAGCCCTCTTCTGAGCACTTTGACTTCTCGGTAGTGTTCATGCCTCTGTGTTAGTGCTGATACTTAACAGTCTCAGTTCAGAGTGGCAGCAGATTTTCAGAAACTATAAAGACTGTCTCTAAACTAAAGGCTGTTAAGAACTAGCCCTGTGTTACTGGTAGTTTACCCATGCCCCAGTGGATGGTCTATACCTGCTCACATATGGTCAGCTCTTACTGAACCTGAAGGTAATAATATAAAAATAATGACGACAATAGTAATAATGGTAAAGAATTTAGGAAGTCAGGAAGGAGATGGGCGGGTAGGTGCCAGAGAGAGCGAGGTGAAGGGAGATAGTGAGGGGAAAGCATAGATAAGATCAGGTACAGCGTATGCATGTATGAAAGCGTCAGTGAGTAAATAAGAATACTATTGCTAAAAGAGTTGACCCTGGCATTAGAATTCCAGATTCCCAATCAAGTTCAGACCTTGGTAACGTGGAGCTGGACAGCGGCCAGTAGGAAGAACTGATCACAGTGTTCATGATATTAGAGGGGAGGTGAAACCCTGTTTCCATGGTGGGAATACCCCGAGACTCGGTCCTTGGCCTTCAAATCTCATGACTTTCAGTGCCATCCATTACACTAGCAATTCCCCCAATGTAATCCAGCTGTGACATTACCCCATACTCCAAATCCAGCTGCTTACTTGAAATCGCCCTTTGAACATTTTAAAAGGTCTTTGTAAGTCCCAACGAAGAGTTCTCATCTCTGCCAGCGCCTTCCAGCTTGCACATCCAGCCTGCTATCCGTAGTTTCCTGTGTTCAGGTTCAAGCCACATCATTTTCCAGTTACTCAAATCAAACCTTTGCACCATCTGGATTCTGCGCCTCCTCTCATCCTGCCTAATCCTCCAGGAAGTTCTATGATCACTGTCTCTGCCGGTCACACGACCTGCTGCTGTAGCCTGGCTGCTCGGTTCCGTCTCCTTAGGAATGCATTGGTTTCAGTCAACTAGTGTTTTTCCCTGAGTGGGCAATCTGAAAAGAATTCCTTTTATACTGTTTTATTGTGTCTCAACATCTTAAGATCCTGAGTAATACGTCTACCTAGGTTTTAGTAGAAAAACATATGTACGTTGGCTGGAATTTATTTTTTATTTTTAAATCTTGTTTATTTATTTGTGCATTTCTATGTACGTACAGGGTTTCCGTGTGCCACCGCCCATGTGCAGAGGTCAGAGGCCAGTTGGCAGTAGTTGCTTTTCTCCTCCCACCGCATGAACAGAGGGATGACCTCAGTGTGTCAGGCTTGGTAGCACGTGTCTTTCCTCACTGAGCCATCCAACTGGCTGCATTTTTATTTATTTATGTATAAATGTTTATGAATTTACAATGCGGAATTTCCCTTTCGTGATGGCATTTTGAAACACAGAAGCATAAGAACCTGAGTTTGGATTTCCCAGTACTCATGTAAAAAATACAAAATGAAACAAGTCTGGTAGCATGCACCTATAACCCCAGCACTGGTCGGCAGAGGCAAGAGGTCCCTGGGCAGAGCTGGCCAGCATCAGAGTCGGTCAGTCAGCCCAAAGTTCCGAGAGAGCCATAGAGGAAGATGCCCGAGGGCTACTTCTGCTCCTCTCCTCCCACACCCCAAACCTTTTTCTGAACCAAGTGTTCTTAATCTTCCAATATAACATCTGAAAATAAGCCACGGGGAGGCCAGTGAACTCTAGAATTTATTCACAAGATTTTGTGCTTATAGATAGTGTCTTGAAATTATAGTTTTTACTGAGTACTCAAAAGAATCTTAGTCAAAAATGGAGAAATACTGATCCTTCTCCATTTCTGTGTATCAGTATAAAACAGTTGAACCGGGTTTAACTTTTATGACCAGCCTCTTAAGACCTGCCTTCTAGATGTTAAGTGGTGAAGCCAGATGAAGGCATTACTGTGAATGGTGATAGTAGCTATGTCTAGGAGACACCTGCTCTCCTACCATATCCATTTTGAGATGAAACCTCACATTAATGTCTGTGCAGTTAAACTGGGACATGTATTGAGGTGGCTATAGTGTCTTCTAATTCTGATTTTAAACAGTTGTCATTTCTTCTGTTTTCATTTGGGGCTTACACCAACCAGTGAGCATTGCTGACCCTGCCGCCCTTGGCTTCATCATCTCTCCGTGGTCGCTGCTGCTGCTGCCGTCTGGCAGTGTGTCCTTTACAGATGAAAACATCTCCAACCAGGACCTTCGAGCATTCACTGCACCAGAAATGCTTCAGAACCATTCGCTAACTTCCCTCTCTGATGTCGAAAAGGTAAATATTAACTCTTCATTTATTGTGTTGTTAATATTTTGATAGAAGTAGAGCAGGTCAAAACAATGGACTCCCCTTACTCTGTCAGTGGAAAAAACCTTTGAATTTAAAGTAATTGTATGTTTTAATGTGTGTGTGTGTAATATATAATTCAAATGTATTTATATTATTCAGGAAAAGATTTTGACTTGGGAAAATGTTTTAAAAGGTGAATCATAAATAAATTCTGATAGCTGCCGTGTGCACTGTGAGATAGACGGCCCAGAGATAAGGTGGACATATGAGTCCCCAAAGGCTGCATGAGGGCTGCAGTTCATGCAAGGAAAATGGAGAAGCCACATAATTTTAAACAGGGAAGGGACAAGATCACACACGTTTTCAAAATGCCAACTAAAGGTTAGGGAATGGATTGGCCAGGACAAGGATGAAGACGGGGAGCGTTAGGGGCTGGTGTGCTGACCGGAAGCAGACACGGTGGAAACCAGCAAAGGCAGACAGTCAGAAAGCACCGAATTATTGCACACAGCATTTGGAAAATGTCTGAGGTGAATGAAACCTTCCCAGTACAACGTCGATTCTTCTTTACCTTGTGGTCTGTTCTCTGTAGGAAGCACACAAGGGTAGAGAAACTCTCCCCACCTTGGTGCCCCTCTCTGTTCTCTGCCTTCATGAGCCAGTGAGCTTTCCGCGCAGGCCACCTCTGCTCGCAGTCCAGTGGGCATTACTGATCCCTGCACCCCGAGCCCCTTCTTACGCGGCATCCATCCGCTATGCACCCTCATGTACTCGCTTCATGGGCCTTGTCTTTTAGTGAAGATTTACAAAAAGCCCTGTTTGCCCAATCTGATACCGAGTCCCTGTGTTCTGTCCCAGCGATCCCTCACCTGTGACACACATATCACCACCACCTTGGAATTTGCTGCTAGTGAAATTGTCACCTGTACTCTTAGCATTAAGGAGGCAGAGGCAAGAGAATTGCTTTAAGTTTCAGGCCAGCCCAAGCATTTTTGTCTTACTCAGACACTAGCTAAAGTGGATGGAATAGGCCTCAACCCTATGCAGAGAACAGTAGGCAATGGAGGCGAACAGGAGAGGGAGAGGTGGCCGTCCCCAGGGACGAGCACACCAGCTGACTGTCCAGTGCCAGCGGGTCATCCCTGAGAACAGTAACACTCTATAGCCTGAGCTGGCTATGTTTAGGAATGTATATATAATAATCAACTGCCAAGGAAACTGGGGAGGAACACATAAGAGAGACTTTGGAGGGGGTAAGAGGGAGGGAGAAGTGGAATTATATTAAAACCTCAGAAATTAAAAAAAGTTTAAAACTATGGAAAAGAAAACAAGTCATTTGTCATACTTAAAAAGCATAGCCAGCCAGTGATGGCACATGCCTTTAACCCTAGCACTTGGGAGGCAGAGGCAGGCAGATCTTTGAGTTCAAGGCCAGCCTGGTCTACAAAGGGAGTTCCAGGACAGCCAGGGCTATACAGAGAAAACCCTGTCTCAAAATCCATTCCCCCCCCCAAAAAAAAAGTGAATATCTTTCACTTTTTTGTAATCTTAAAGCATTAGCACATCTAAAAGAATTGTAAATCAAAGCAATGAGTTTATAGTTCATCTTTTATACCCAATCTATGAACAAATATTTTATGTGAAACTTTTGGAAAGCTCCTTATGCATAGCTTACTGAAATGTGGGTTAAGAGATGCTTTGTGATTAGGCCGCCCGATGCTGCGTTGAGTCTTATCCCCGTACACTGAACTCAGCAGACATACAGTAAATACCCTCTGCTAGTTGCTGAGATGTACAGTCAGACTTGTAAGACAGGCTCTCTGTGGTACCAGGAAGTATTAACTAACTGCTTCACTTGAGATACAAATGAAATTACCTGTGTCATCTAAGAAAGACTGTCATCCTGTGTAAATGAGTTTATATGATATATGTCATTATTTATATGATGTATGCCATTTAAAAATCATCTCTGGCTTAGCGCTAGTGGGCATTTTTATTGAAAAAGATAACACATTCTTGGTAAAATGAATAATGCTTAAGAAGTGGACATCATCCCTGCAGACAGGAGACCTAGGAGTCTGACTGTAGAATTGAGGGGGATGTGAGTCAGGATGAACGTAAAAGTCACTAGGAAGAATTCAAAATAAAGAAAAATTGGAAGTACTGAAAATATTTGAAAGTGGAGCGGTTTTTCTAATCTCTAAACTGGGAACAAATTTAGGTGACAGTATAAGAAGTAGATTAAAGCACTGTCACGTTGTAAGAAGAGTGTCAGCATCTTATTTGCACATAGATTTTTTTTCTACCATTTTCTAAAAAGAGAACTGGAAACAGCTTACAGATTTTAAAACAAAGTTTAGAAGATAGAAACTACCTAAAATACAGACAATAAAATAAGAAAAACCTGAAGTAAGGCCCCCTCCACCCCCACTCTCCCATAGAAATGAAAACCCTCTCATGATGTTAGGCAGGGCTCTCTAGAGAGCAGACCCCGTAGGCTGTGTACTTATCAGGAAGGGGACTTACTTACAGACCGGTGTAGATGCAGTAGCGACTGGGAAATCAGCAAGGGGCATCTGCACACTGGAGATGCCCAGAACCTCGTGATCGCTCAGTCCGCGTATCTGGTTGCCTCAGCGTCCTCAGTCCAGGGTTAAAGCCTGGAAACTTCCTGGACATCAGTGGTATGTAGTGTATGTTGGAAACATCTTGAGCAGTGTTTCCCAACCTGTGCATCTGAACCCCTTTGGGGTTCTCAGAAGATTTCCTGCATATCAGATATTTACAACATGACTCATAACCATTACAAAATCACAGTTTCGAAATAGCAGCAGAAATAAATTTATGGTTGAGGTCACCGCAGTATGAGGAACTATGTTAAAGGGTCGCAGCATTAGGAGGGTTGAGAACCACTGACAGAGTCTGGTGGCAGCAAGGGCAGCAGCCGCAGAATGTGCAGGTAGGCTTCTCTTAGGATCCTTTACTAGTACACTGATGGAAACCTCTGGTCTCTGCCCCTGTGACCATACACGCCCATCTCCTGCCTGTCAGCCCTCTCTCTCCAGTCTTTCTAGAAACAACCTGTCAGCATCACAGTAGGTTATTTTCTAGCAAATGACAGAAAAGTCCTTTGATCCTCCTCCTCCTCCTCCTCCTCCTCCTCCTCTCCCAAACCCACAGATATGCTAATCAAAACTCCAGTTAGATTTCCCCCCTCACTTTTCAGACTGGCAAACATTTAAATCTTATGTGGAAACTCTTGTGTTACTAGTTGAAATGAAAATGGTAAAACTTTTCTGTATGGATATATGATTCTCTCACTATGCGTGTGCGTGTCTGGTGTGTGTGTGTTTGTTTGTGTGCACACGCACATGCTGGGGGTTGTATAAGGGTAGATTTCACATAATTTCAAAACCAATTCAAGAGAAATGTCTGCATTAAAAAATAATTTTTCCTGAAACGTGTCGCATAAAGTTTGGAAAAGTCTCAGTAAATAGTAGTGCAACAGGCAACAAAACCCTGTAGCAGTGAAAGGGGACAAGCTCTCCAACAGTGAACACAGACACATCTCTGTTGGTAAATTCAGAGGCGAAGCTGCCGGGCAAGGTGGTGCACACCTGTAATCCCAGGACTAGGGAGGCCGAGTTCAGGACAGTCCGGGCTACACAGAGAAACCCTGTCTCGGGTGGGAGTAGGGTGGTCGTGGGATTGGGGGGAAGCAAGGTGTAAAGTACATTTTAAATATTATGTGAAAGAGGATTAAGAATATATACTCACATTTGCTTAAGTTTGCATGAAGAGACTAAGTAAAAGCTAGCAAAATGATGATTCATTGAAAGTGCACTCTGAATTGGTGGCAGGGATTGTGTGTTTACTCCAATTTTTTATTTTTAAATTCCTATGCTTTTATGTAAGATGTAAAATGATTTTTCTCAAATTATGTGTTAAGCTTCCTTGGGAGCAAAGAGTGTATTACTTGTTAAATTTTTTATTTTACCATAAGGTGATTTTTGTAAAAAAATTCTATTCCTAGATCCATATTTATTCTCTTGGAATGACATTGTATTGGGGGGCTGATCATGAAGTACCTCAAAGCCAAGTAAGTGAACCTTCACATTTGTGATATTTTCATATTGATACATATTTACATTTTTTACAGAGCCCTTTCATGTGGTTGTGTGTGTTCTCTGCAGCATGATGCCAGGCACACAGGTGTTTTATACTGTGTGTTATTCACATGTGCACGGTCAGCATGTCAGAATGGGCTAACAGTGAGTGCCATGTTGTTCACGTGTGCACAGTGAGAGTGTCAGAATGGACTGATAGTGAGCGATACATTGTTCACATGTGTACAGTCAGTATGTCAGAATGGACTAACAGTGAGTGCCGTGTTATTCATGTGTGCACAGTGAGAGTGTCAGAATGGTCTAACAGTGAGTGAGTGCTGTGTTGTTCACATGTGTACAGTCAGCATGTTGGAATGGGCTAGCAGTTTGTTCACGTGTGTACGGTCAGCGTGTCAGAATGGACTAGCAGTGAGAGCCTATGAACACACTGAAGATATCCTAAGGATTGTAGCAGTCACTGCCAAGGTTCAGTGATGGAGCCGGACTCTTCAGTATAGCTCGGTGAATAGGCAAATACCTTATTTCTTATCAGCAGCTGGTTTAGGATCAGGGTGTAAATGTCTGATGAGTCAGCCTTGCACTGACCGTAACAGATCAACAGATCTGTTCCTGTTGCCTATGGTAGCAGAGATGGCATGGCACCTCTGACCCAGTCAGCCTGTGGTAGGGAAGGCGGGGTGCTCTATCCATTTCAGCTCTTTGGGGTAGTGGGGAACTTTTGTTAGTTTTGGGCTCTTGGCATGTCAGAATTCCACTTCATGGCTTCGGTTGTAGCAGAAACACATCTGAGGTTAACTCTCGGGTCTTGGATTCAGATCATTGGGCCAGTTTTAGTATTTCTGCCTTATTCCTAAAATCTCTATTTATCCAAGCTAAATTGTAACAATTAAAATTTCATTTAGGGCTAGGGAGAAGCAATAGGAAATTGCTTGCCTCACAAGCATGGCAGCCTGTGTTTGGATCTCTGTCACATACATATCACAGGACATGGCCAAGCATGTTTGTAGCCCTCATTCCTGGGGGATGGGAATAGGCAGATTCCTGACACTCACTGATCAGCCATGGGACTGGTGGGTGGCTACAGTCTTAGTGGGAGAGCCTTCCTCAAATGACACTGTGGAGTGGATAGTACAAGACACCTAATATCCACATGCACACACACACCTGTGAGAGCTCACGTAGCACAGAGACCACACACACAGCTGCACTTATTCACACATGTATCAAAGTAAAAGGAAGAAGAGGAGGACAAAGAGGAGGAAGAAAAAGCTGGGTTTATTTAGTCATTTAGAAATACAAAAGCAGATTTTTTGTTGTTGACTGTCAAGAATCTTAAGCTTAGTTCAACTTAGCCCAATCTAATTTTTCTCTTTGGAAATTTTTGTTGATTTTCTTTCTCTCCTTAGTTTCGATTCTGTAAATACATATGAGAAAGTTCTTACTGGAGATATTCATGTCCTTTGTCATGTAATATAACTGTCATATAAAATGTAGCCATCTACAGTTAGCATTTTGAATTATTTTCTAATAACTGGAAATAACGTCAATATCAATGATATAAAATAATTTAAAATCATACTTTATATATATCATGGTATGGAAATGATCATAAATCATTACCATTTTAGAAATGCAAGTATGTAATGCATATATCTTGTACCCCCAGCCTAGCAGTATGCTTCTATATTTTCTCTTTTTACTTCTTGGTGACTAGTGATGCGAACCATCTTTTTATATGCTTATTGGCCATTTGGATGTAGAAACTTAAAACTTAATTTTAATTAACAAAAATAATTTCACATTCTTGTTTCTGTTTCATCAGATAAATGAGAACCCATTTCATTTAGCTGCTCTTGAGTCATTTTAATATCTAGACTCTTCCATCTTATCATACAAATATCAAAGTATATAGAAAAAGATACAGCTTATGAACACTGATTATTGAAGCACTGTCCCTATTTCTCAATATATTTATCTAATCAAAGAAGTTCACTTCTGCCAGGCATGGTGGAGCACACATTTAATCCCAGTATTTGGAAGATAAGGCAAGAGTCTCTGTGAGTTCAAGACCTGCCTGGTATATAGAGAGAGTTCCAGGTCAGCCAGGGCTATGCAGTGAGACCCTGTCAAATAAAAACAAAAACAGAATCTACCATTTCTTTTTTACAAAATCAATAGTGTTTTGAAAAAATTACACTTTTATTTAGGAAGACATGTTAACTTCCTTCTATTAATATAGAAGGTTTTGGGGTCACATGGGTCAGCCAGACATAATTGCCATTACAAAAGAATTCATTTCCTCCAAATATAGTGCTGCGATCCCTGAGATTCCTATAATTTCTTTTCTTGTGGTGATTACTCCCGCTTGTTAATATGGCCTTTCCTTTCCTTCTAGCCCATCAGGCTGGGAGACCATCTCAACAGCATCCTGCTAGGCATGTGTGAGGACGTCACCTATGCCCGAGTGTCCGTGCGGACTGTCCTGGATGCCTGCAGTGCCCACATTAGGAACAGCAACTGTGCACCTTCGTTTTCCTACGTGAAACAGTTGGTAAAGCTGGTTCTGGGAAATATTTCTGGGGTAAGCTACAGTTGAAAACATAGTCATATTTTGAAATTCAGTAACACACAAGTTTTCTTTATTGTACATTCTTTAAATGTATAATAGCAGTTTTTCAAAATTAAGGATTTAAAGGGAATTTATAATAGCTTTAATGTTCATTGTTTACTCCAAACAGTACTTTAAAATTTAGAATTCTATGCAGTTTCCCACATTTTATGAAAGTCATCCATTTTTCAAGAGCTTTGTCGGAGGAAAGATTGTAGAACAGCGACAGGGTCGTCACCCTGGGAGTCCTCTGTCCTTCCTTAGTCCCCCTCTGGTCTCATCTGCAGAGCTCTTCGCAGATCATTGTAATTGATTGCCTTGAGGAAACACATTGATCCACAAAATGAGTGTCAGAATTCTTATTGTGCTTCCTATTTCTAGATCTCTTTCTTGTTCCTCACTTGTCAGGATTCCCTCGGTCATCCTCAACCTTCTCCCCATTCTCGGGTGGGAAGGAGTCTTTGGTTCTCTTGCTGCTTGAGACTTGGGTACTTACCTTTTCTCTCATTCAGGATGTAAAGAACTGAAGAGTAAAATCCATGTATAATAATCCCATCTCTGCTCTTCATCCTTTAAGCTGTTCTGTCTGTTCTCTCTGTCGGGGCTGTTATTGCTGTCTGGCTTTCTGACTGGCATATGTACTTACCCACTCTTGCTCTGTGGTGTCCATCGGTGCTCCTCCCTTCGCTGGGTAGACCCCAGATTTGTGCTATCACAGTGTCCTTTCTAGCTTCCTCTTAATTCCTCGTTCTTAGGAGGTTTAGTTCCTCCATCTTAACCAGGATACTGTCCGGCAAACGGAATATATACATATTCCACACAACTTTGCCAGTTGGTGAGAAACGGACTCAGATCTCCTAAACAGATGTGAACGGTCCCCACTGAGTGTCCGTGCTGGGAAGGGCTGATGGGTGCAATTCTCTTGCTGTGGCTGCTCCCATTTTATTTAGTTTGTTTCAGTTCTGTATGCTCATTTAAAAAACACAGCTAAAGCTGCTAAAGCATGAGTGATACATGATAGAGACATGGATAGAAGCTACTAAAGCATGGGTGATGCATGATAGAGACACAGATAGAAGCTGCTAAAACATGGGTGATACATGATAGAGACATGGATAGAAGCTGCTAAAACATGGGTGATACATGATAGAGGCATGATTGGAAGCTGCTAAAACATGGGTGATACATGATAGAGACACAGAAGTTGCTAAAACATGGTGTGATGCATGATAGAGTAACAGTTGGAAGTGCATCTCTGACTCCAAGACCTTGCCGTTCCCTTCTACAAGTGGCTATTGGGGTAGTACTCTGGTGTCTTGGTTCTTCTAGTATTGCAATATATTTTCTTTCAGGCTATTGTCATTTTTCTAGAGAAATTGTCATTTTCAGGTTATTGTCATTTTCTACCCTCCCCAGCTCAATAGAATCCATGCAAACATTTCTTTTGATGTTTCCTTTATTTTTGTCAACTGTTAAAACAATGTGAAAAACGTCAGTACCAGACTTTGCATAGATCCCATTGGAAAACCTTTTCATCATAAATAAAAGATGTTTGTTGAACAACTCCCCCTAAAAAACTCCCAATATATTTACCTTAATTTTGACTAGCTATAAAATACGATTACTATCCCTGTTACCCGAGACAGTTGTGAAGGTAACTGAGCTGCTCCGGCGCTTCCAGCTGTGCTGGTGATCTTTCAGAGCATCTGTAATCGTTGTGAAGATCAGTACAACATGTGTAGTGCACTGCGCCATGCCAGGCACACACTGTTCACTAGACGGCAGTCGCTATTAATAACTCCCTCAAAGCAAGCATTCACAACTATGCATCATACTCACCATTTTCCTGTCCCCCAACAGTCAGGGTGGTCTGGACTGATACCATTTATGTAAATCAAGGACTGCATCATTTCACAAATACTTCCATCTAAATCTTCTTTTGAATAGGAATTAAACTGCTTTGAATCATGAGTGTGCTACCTGAGACAGAGTTGTTACCCACACACTAACTTCTGTAATGGAGAAATAATAAAATGTGTGTGCATAGACACAAGCGTGGACATGACATTTGACATAGCTTCACTATTCTGTTTTCAGTTTGAGTCTGCATCTGTCCTGCTTTTGATGTCTAAATAAACCAGTATTCTCTAACTTTTATCCTATGTAACATAGAGTTTGACCCAATTTGTGCTTATTTTACCTGAGTATTCATGATTGGTGCCATTGAAACTTCAGAGTGCCAAAGTAGTTTGTTACAGAGAGGATTCCATGAAACCTCAGTTTAAATGTCAGTGGCCAGCATATCCAGTTAAAAAATTTTGCAAAGTATATAATTCTGGCAGACAGTATCAAGGAAATTACTTCTGAAATAATTTAAAATGGTATTCTCAATGTATAAGTGCAGCCAGAAGTTTTCCAATACAAAATTAATATAGCTTTAAAACTATAAATCTTTAAGAGATGAGAATAGTTATTAGGAAGAGAAAAACAGAATACCTCAAGATGCTGCCTTTAGAAGTTGCTAATTTTAGCTCAGTCCCAAGGTGTGAAGCATTCTGTTTGTTGCTTCTCTCCAAAGATGGACTGGCCAGTCCCAGTTCATGCAAATCTTTCCAGACCATAAAATTACAGTCAGCCGTGGAGTCTCTGTGCTTGGTGCTAAGCCCTCGAGATTGGCTAGCGTGTCCTTCTGTGGACAGTCACTGACAAGAGGGGAGATTATTTTATCAAACTTGATTTTTGATTACCTGTGTACAGACGGATCAGCTTTCCCGTAGCAGTGAACAAAAGCCTGATCGAAGCCAGGCTATTCGAGACCGACTGAGAGGAAAAGGATTACCCACAGGTAAGAGTGTGCTAATAGGAACTTTTTAGACCTCAATGCTACTCTCTTGTCTGTGAAAATGTGCTTTCTGGCTTAGAAATCCAGTCAGTCATGCCTATGGCTCGTATGAATGTAATGATGCAGAGTAGAAGCCACGGAAGAGAAAAACACCAGGCACAATACTAAATAAACATTCCAGTTGTGTAAAAAGATCAGCGGTCAGAACTCCCGCACACACCCTCAGTACCATCGTTTGCTTACACTATGTTTAATAGATAGGCTGTAAAGCATGACGTGATGGGCACAGGCGTGTATTTAGGAGCAAACAGTGACACCCCTGAAGCCAGAGCTCTTGAGAGCGCGCGGAGGCGCTGACTGCACGCGGGTGTCGTCTCTTCTAGTTCTCTGGCAGTGCCAGGCACTAAAGTTATTCCGTGAGTAAGTATGTCGTAGCTTGTACTTGTCAAACACTGCTGTCGGTTATAGGAGGCCTGCTAAATAAAATGAACAGTGGCTGGTTATTTGGTGGTAACTTATAATGGATCTATAATGATTATGTCATAGGCTTTTAAAAATGCATGGATATTCTAAATATTCAAGATAAAAAGTAGATATAAAAATAGGATTTTAAAATTCTTTTTCTTTTTCTTTTCCTTTCTTTTCTTTTTTTCCCCTGAGTTTCTCTGTGTAGCCTTGAGTGCTGGGATTAAAGACATGCACCACCACCTCCTGGAAAAAATGGATTTTTTTTTTGTTTTTTTTGCTAAGAACCAGGCTTGGCTTTTTTAAAGATAAATTTTGATTTTATAGATTAATTTTGTTATCTTTTTTTTTTACTTCTCATCAAAAGTTGTTGAAAGCCCTGGTAACATAAATATTAGCAAGAATTTTTGTTCAAAGAAAAAAGTAAAAATAACAAGTATATTCAAATAAAACATGTTCTAATGTATGCACTTTAATAAAATAAGTTAGAAAATTTGCATTCCTTATTTTTACTTTAACCACACAACCAGCATATTTAAAACCCAGCTTATTTAAAAAACAAAAACAAAACAACCTTGTGAGAAAGCTTTCTTGTAAAATTAAGGTATAGACCCTTGATTATCTGGACTCTGCAGAGAGTCCAGAAGCCTCTTAAGCATTGAGTGTCCTCTAAACCAGGGCTGCGCTTCTCCTGAAGTCAAGGAGAGCAGCTCATGTGTGTCTGTGGGGTCCTTTGCAGGGCTCCAGTTGGCTGCCTCACAAAGCTGTGTTTCCTTTGTCATAAGTGAGGGTTGTTATTGTTCCTTTGTCGTAAGTGAGTGTTGTACTGTTTCTGAAGAAGTATCTTAGCTTTCATTTCATGATAGTAAATTCATTTTTAGTTAGATCAAGGTTCTTTTCTAATATTTATTGTTTATGTGTGGATAAAAAGTACAAAGCGAGTTTTGTCTGACATAGCTTTTAGAATGTCCTGATAGCAGTTTAGGTTATTTTTAGTCCTTTTTGCCAGTGTTTCCTTTGCTACCCTCATTCTCTCGGCTATGTGGACACATGCTCTATGGAAAAGATGCTGTTTGTTGTCCTAGGATTTAAACTAAAATATAATGTGGACGTTGGTGCAAAGAATCATCAGTTTTAGTCACTCTCCTTTTTAGAACAGAATAATAATAGAGAATTATGTAAGAGTGTCAGTAGCAAGCTACAGCACTCTTTTTTTAAGGACTCACCCTGAGCTTGTAATTGAGACATTAGACTATCAAGGCTTGCCTTTCTCCCTGTCTCCCCACTTCCTTTCTTTGCCCCTTTCCTCCCTGCATTTCTTTCATCTGTGGCCCCCTCCACCCCTCCTCCACCTCCTACCTTCTGTACCTCTGCTCTTCTCTTTCCTGTTCAGTCTCTCCAATCTTCCTAGAATTTCCCTCTGTCCGTTCCTGCTGCCAGTTACTTAGCCGTGTTGTGCAGTTAATGTTTATTTATGTTACTTGCTGATTTAATAAGTATAATTTTATATTTTTATGATTAATTCTTCTAGATGTTTTATGTTCTTTCAAGACCTCCTAAAACTGGTGTGATAGATTTTTGTCTATTCCATGCCCATCAAGGGTCTACTGGGGGGAAAACTGCCCTGCTGTGCTTAGCTTATGAAATTTTAAAGGCTGTGAAATGTTGACACGGCACATTTTATTACCATCAGTGTTTCACAGTTTAATGTTCCAGACACTAATTTTCATACGATATTTCAGGGGTAGCAACTAGAGACTTGTAGGAGGAGACTGTTCATTCATTTCCCAGCTACTCAGACCCTAATAATCACACAGAAACTATATTAGTTACAACACTGTTTGGCCAATGACTCAGGCAAATTTCTACCTGGCTCTTACATCTTATATTAACCCATTTCTATTAACCTGTGTATTGTCACGAGGCTGTGGCTTACCAGGTAAGGTTCTGGCTGGCCATCTTTCTCCTTAGATAGCTGCATGGCGTTTCCTTGACTCTGCCTACCCTCTCTATATCACTGTTTGGATTTCCTCACCCAGCTTTGTTCTGCTAAGCCATTGGCTGAGACAGCTTTATTCATTAACCAATGGTAATAAAACACATTCACAGCATATGGAGGGGAATCCCACATCAGAGACTTAATTGAATCTGTATCTACTCTAGCAAAGCCTAACTAGTGGTTTATTTATTGCTTTTAAGTAAGAAATTATGTAAGTTTAGCTTCCTGAACATAAAGAAAAATCCTGATATATTATGTTTAGTTTATTTTGTAAATGTTCAGTGAGTATGTCTTGATTGTTCAAGCATGAGAAAGAATTTTATCAAAATGTTAGACACTGAAATATAATAGAATCCCGTTTTTATAGTTTGACGTTTTGGTGTTTTCATAAGGAATATGTGAGACTTCTATTATTTCACTGGTCTCATACCATGGGTGAGCAATAGGTAAAAAACGAAAGCATCCCACTGTCTCGGCTTGTATTATTTGACCTTTTTCTTACTGTAACAAAGCATTACAAGTTTGAAAATAAGTTTTAATCCCTTTTATTTATGACTTTGATTTTATACTAAAAATTGCTCAGTGGCATTGTTTAATAGATCTTTAGGACTCTGATTCATGGGCTGTTTCAGTGCAGATAATTTTACAAACTAGTAGAAGTCATTAATATTGATTATATTCTGTGAGAGTAAGATCAGAACAAATCCCTCTGTCTAAACTGAAGAGAATTTGTAAAGAATTACAATTCGTCACTCAGGGTAAACCAGATGTTTTTCTACTTCCATTTTGGAGTAAAAAGAAGAATCAAGCATTTCTCTCAATTACATTTGGAGTAGAAATTGTACCCTTGTTTTGGTTGGGGATAGTAGAGTTCTTGGCCAGCACTTACAGAATAGTAAGAATATTGTACCGGAGCCATTTCAAGTTCCTTTTTCAGTCTTCAACACCTCAGCAGAACTGAAGCAATGAAAGCATGCTGACTACATGCCCACAGGTCAGAGACGATAAGCAGTCAGGTGTCGGCAGCACACATTAATTTCAGAGGTTTAAAACTGGGAAAATAATCAGCTGTCTGAGAACAAACCCTCTTCTAGGATGCGGATGTCCTGTGGACATGCTTGTTCCATTTCTGCCCACCGGTAGCCATGTACCCTGTAAGCCTATGTTGCTAGTGAAGATTCCCCTCAGTATTCACCAGTTAAAGTGTCTATGGGCTGTAGCTTCAGTGTATTGATCACAGTTCCATAAAGAAAGCAGTAGGCCGAGCAGTGAGATACAGAATTGGGTTGAAAGAAGCAAGTTAGTTCATGGATAATCTGTATCTGTTGTTTGATTGCTAATTTAATACCACTTACTATTTTGTGTGTGAGTGAATGACCTTGAATCTTGCTTCTGAAATCTGTCACAAGAGTCAAATCCTAAACTTGTGGGCTGTCTGCCCCTACTTTGTTACTTAATACTGCCGGTCCTGATGGCATGGCTTCACTACACACACACACACACACACACACACACACACACACACACACACACAAAACACAAGTATTTCCTGCCAAGTGTTAGGAGAAACCTATATTGTCAGATAAGTGGTGATGGCTTCAGAACCCCAGGACGATTCTGCTTCTGTTTTCTGTGTATTTGAGCTCATTTTTAAGGACAGCGGGGAACTCAGCAGCTGCCTTTAAATATTAAAGTTCCCTTCCCAGAGATGCTCTGACTTTTTGAGTCTGTGTGTGAGAGGGAAGAGGAAATGATAGGATACAAATTGAATTGAAACAGTTGGTACTATACTCCATGAAGACTTTTTATAGTCTTAAAGTCTTAAATCTATTTTTGTTTCTTTTTCAAGACAAGTTTTCTCTGCGTAGCCCTATCTGCCCTAGAAGTCACTCTGTAGGCCAGCTGGCTCTGGCTCTCAGGTGCTGGATTAAATGTGTGTGTCCCTTTGTCCTGATTTTCTTAAATCTTTTGTTTGTAGCTGTTCACTCTATTTATTGCTCCCTATTTGGATTTTAGCAAAATGTACACTCTCCAGGAGATTGTTTATGGCTTCATTTTAAATTTGGATGCTTTAATTGGTGATAATCTGTGTCTGTAAATTGAGCTCAGATCCTCCTGAAGAGATAGCAATGTCTACTTTATCATTTGTGGAAAATGTTATACTCTATTCAAGAATAGATCTAAGACTTTTATGGAAACCTTCTGGTCTCTGGTTTCATTATTTTCTCTCAAAAGAATGTGTAAATTCTTGGTAGATTATTATATGTCTAGGAAAACAAATTAGATAGAAAAAAGACAAAATTTGGTACCTATGTCTTCATTCCAAAGAACTCAGAATTGTTCAGATGGGTTATCTCACTTCTCCTGTTGTCTCAAAAAGAAGAAACTTTAAATCATCCCACATGTTGTAGCTGGAAGAAATGAGAAACATGGAGATTGACCGGCTTGCACAAGCTTATGGGTTGATTAGGAAGAAACCATTAAAACCACAGTCTCTTGATAGGAGTCTTTCTGCTAAATGATGCCACCTAAAGTGGTT